CTACAGGGAGGTTAACTTCGGGTAAAAAACAAAACAACTGACATGGGGTGTGGGGTTGGCACCTGCCCCAGCCCTCCCTGTGAGCTTGGGGAGGGTGGTGGGGGCCCTCAGACAATCTGGCAGGACTGCAGGCCGCCCCCGCTCCGGCCACTGTGGACAGGCACAGGCTTGCCCTTCCCGTAGTAGCCGGTGAACACGGCCCTGAGCTCCAGCTTCTTGGCCAGGCTCAGCAGCCAGCGCCCACTGCCCAAGGAGTAGAGCTTGTCCCGGCGGATCTCGCCCACCTCCTCGCCGCGGCTGCCTGCCTTCTCCTGCCGCACAATCTCCAGCAGGTCGATGCCCGTCTGCACGGGCTCCACTTCACTGGCACAGCCCAGGGTGATGTGTGCACGACTCCCGCGAGGCAGGCTGTCAGAGGGCAACAGCTTGTCCACCTCACTGGGCCACAGCAACAGCTCCTGCTCACTCAGCTCCACCCGGGCCCCGGCCGTCTTCGGGGTCACGAAGAGGGCAGAGATGCTCAGTGTAAAGGCCTTGCTGTAGGATCTCTTCACCACCTGTGGGGGAGAGGGCTGGCTAAAGACGTCAGTCCTTTCATCCCCTCTAGGGACCCCCAGCTGGCAGTGGGGAGAGGGGCTCACCACCCACAGAACCTGCAAGGGGTGGGTGGGGCTCCCAGGCCTAGAGGCTACACACAGGCTCAGAAAGGAGGCCCTGTGCAGGGGCCAAAAGCCAGACTGCCTGAGGTCAGAGCCAAGGGCACCACCTGCCAGCAGCAAGGTTCTGAGCAGGTGTAACCTCTGAGCCTTGACTGAAAGACAGGCCCGGAAAGAGCTGAGTGCCCTGGATGGAGGGGAACAGGCTTTGTGGTGGCTGGTCAGGCAGGGCAAGGGTAGGCGCAGTCGCACTGTCACCCCCCACCCCCCTCTGCACTTGGTGCGTGCATCTGGTCCCCCAGCGGTGACACCCGGTTCTCTGAGGAAACTCCCACTGGTGACCATTGCTGCTAATTCTGAGTCCCAACAGCGTCTGCCATGTCAGACAGACTCAGCTTAAACACTGCTGAGTGCACGATGGCGGTAGAAGGTGAGGCCGTGGTGAGCAAAGCCAGAAGCCCCTTGCCCTCGGCAGCCTGCTTTCTAGAGGGGGACACCAGTAAGAAAGGAAGCCCCTTGTGTGGGCCCAGAGAGGGGAGGTCACGCCAAAGGAGTGGGAGGCTTGAGTGCTGGGGTGAGGCTCAGTGGCTGGGGGCAGGCAGGGAAAGCAGTGATACTCAGAGCAGCACCCCACCCTAACTCCCACCCCTGGGGCAAAGCCTGGTCTCAGCTCCAGGGACAAGAACCCCAGAGCACCAGGCTCTGGGGTGCCCAGCGCTCGCCAGGAATGTACCCAAGGAAAGAGACCACAGGCAGGCCCTATGCCCAGCCAGCCCCCCTGGGAAAGGGAAAGCTGGGGACGGGACGGGGGTCCCCGCCCCATCGGGCTGGAGGAGAACTCACGTCCTGCTGGGCGTACTCCTCCGCCCCAGCCGCCTTCCCGTAGTCGCAGAACTTGGTGGTGCAGTGGAGCATGCCCGGGGGCCTCTTCCCAAAGTAAGTGACCAAGTCCATCTTCTCCCTGGACTCGTCTCCGGGGCCAACTGCAGGGGGAGTGGCAGTCAGGGAGGTGGCCATGGGTCCGCTTTCCCCCAAGGCCACACCGTGCTGAGCACCAGGATCGTGGAGCCCACCAGGGAGAAAACTGGACGCTACATGTGAATTCTGGAGCTGATCAGTGGATTCCGACCTAGGGTGACCTTATACGGGTCATCCCCCACCTGTCACTTTTTAACGTTGACTTCACAGACCTGAAAACCCTCAGGCAGGCCAAGGTAGTCCGAGATTTACCAACAAGTCACAGAAAGGGGTGGGGAGATTGGCGCATGGGGGGCTGGGAAGGTGACTCAGGCCTTAACTCTGCCACTGGGGCAGGTGGACCACCTGGTCTGTGGGGTCCCTGGGAACTATGAGCGCCTGCTTCATATTTGGGCCCCAGAAGAATGCACAACCAGCGGGGCTGGCTGCCTCACAGGCGGGCATTGGGGCCTAGTAGCACAGGCGCACATGGCCCGAAGATGGGGTGTGCTTTGGGGGACCCCTGCTCCTTTCCAGCCTCCAGCCCGTGGCCGCTGTCCCAGTCACTGGGCTGAGTCCCTGTAGGGATGTCCCCACCGCCATGGGCGAGGAGCACAGCTCTGCTCTGAGCAGAGAACACTTCCCAAGGCACAGCCACCAGCTCTACAGATGCATGCTTTCCGGGGCAATTGGCCACCCAGCCACTCACGCTTGGGAGCTGAGAGTATCTGAGCACTTCAGGCCAACGATCTGCCTCTGCACCACACACAAGCAGCCGCCACCTGGGAGCTGGAAGTGGGTGAGAGTTCTAACAGGCCCCCAAAGACCGACCAGCCTCAGCACAAACCGACTCCCGACTCTGGTGCCGCACACAGCCACGGTGGCTGGGCACGCCGTGTCCCTGTCTGCAGAACGGCAGGCTTGAGGCTGGGGTGGCACTCATTGCTCATTCTCTGGAGTCCTTGTGTCCACAGAGCTGGAGATGGGGTGTCAGCATCTGGGAACCTTTGCACGTCCTACCCCGGAGGATTCCACGCCCTATTTTTGTTTTAGAGGAGGGGTCTGCTGCTCAAAACGGTTTAGAAAACAATTGGACCCAGTTCTCCATGGTGATAACCTATGGTGGCCTGTGCCCTGTTGTGGCAGGAACTTGTCTTTCCCATCTGGAGGCAGGGGCAGATCCAGGATGGGAGAGGGGAGATGACAGTGCCCTGGGAGGTACCCATCTCCACCTGACTGGGCAGCCCTGCCCCCGGGCCACCTCTGAAGCACCCACTTACTTCTGCCTCCTAGCAGGTGAGGCCACATCTTTAACCCCCACTTGGAGCCCAACCCTTGTGGCCCCCACCCCCCGACAGCCACCTACAGTGCCGAAGCTGCTCCTTGAAGGCCTTGTGGTTCCCCAGCTCCTGCAGGAAGGCCTGGCCGGCCCTGTGGAGGCGCTCGGAACTCTTCTTGGTCAGGAACCAGCCGAAGTACAGCGGCAGGAAGTCCCTCTCCAGCCCCGGCTTCAGCTTCTTCAGCTCATCGGTGGACAGCTTCCATTGGCTCTTCTCCTTGAGCTGGGCACAGTCCAGCCGCCACGCCGTCTTGGGCTCCACCAGCACCACCTGGTACTGGTACTGGTCGGCCACCTCAAAGAGCTGCTCCAGCCGCTCCCGCTCGTGGTGCGTGTCGTCCAGCACAAGCACTCGGATGTCCCGGCGGCAGTAGGTGGCCAGCTGCTGGTCCAGCTGCTCGTACTGCTCGGAGAAGTCGCCGCGGACGCCGGGGGTGATCTTGTAGCTGTCGGCGGACAGCATCTTGGTGCCATCATGGTACTTGTCGACAATGGTGCGGGCCAACGTGGACTTGCCGCTGCCCGGCAGGCCGCGCAGGATGAAGAGCGTCTTGCACTCCTGCAGGGTGCTCACCGTCTCCTCATCCTGCAGGAAGGGAAACTGCAGCTCGGGCCTGTCCTTGGGCCCCGAGGTGGACATCTTGCGGAAGAAGATCTTAGGCAGGAACGTCTGGCTCTTGCGGGAAAAGCCTCTATTCTGGATGGGGAAGGGAAGCACAGGTTTCAGGCCCGGTCACCTGCAGCCACCCCATCGCCATGGCCCTGGTCTCTGGGCCAGGTCTAGCCTGGCTCCCCAGCCCCCCTGGGGGTCCAATGTGCCTCTCATGCGGTGGGATACCCCAGGGCCCATCAGGACCTGGATGACACAGTTAACAAGCTCAGCTGTTAACAAAAGGTTGAAAGTTCAAGGCCACCCAGAGAAACCTAAGAAAGGCCTGGCCATCTGCTTGGGGGGTGGGGTGGGGGCGTCAGCCACCGTAAACCCATGGAGCCCAGTTCTACTCTGAAACCTGGGTCACCATGAGCCAGAGGAGACTGGACAGCAAGTGGAAGGGGGGTGGACACCTATGCCTTTGCTTTGTGTTCCCCGAGTACCTGTACCCCAGGGGTGGAGGATGTGGTGAGGGCAGCGGTGCCTCCAGGACCCCCACCGCAGCCCCTCTAGGAAGAAGCCATGCTGCCAGGCATGCCGGGAGGGGCTGAAGCCGTCTTCTGGAGCCTGGCTCTGAGTTTATACTCTTGGCAAGTTGTAAGGCTGTCCTGCCTAGGGGTGGGGCTTCTCTATCTGGGCAGAGACACAGCTGCCCTGGCTCAGATGGGGGGGAGGCCTCCCTACCCCCAACAATGGCAGCAACAAATAATACCCTCTTGTCTGGGTTGGGGGGACAATGGTCCCACAGAAGGGCTGGTGGGGGGCAGGGAAGGAGCTCATTGGACAAAGGGCCTGATTCACTAGGCCTGCCACCTCCTCCTGCCCTCTCTCTGCTCCCCAACAAAGTCGGGGGCTTGTGCCTGACCTAGAACTGGGCGGCACAGACACCTGCATTCAGGGGCTAGCTCTGCCCACCACTCTCAGGCGCTAGTTCTCCGGCTCAAACACAACCGTCTGCTCTTCCACACCAGCTCCTCCCTGGGGCACCTTTGGGGTCAGCAGGCCCTGGGGAGGGCCGGCGTCCTGTGGCTGCAGTCCCCTCGCCAGGCCCCTCACCGTCCTCCGGCCCCTACTCCCCCCCACCGCCCCAGCTACCTTAGGACTGACTGCACGCGTCCCCACCAAAGCCTGGACTCAAGCCGGAACCTCGGTGCTCATTTGCATGCCACTTCCTCCCAGGAAACTCCAAAATACTCGGGTGTCCGTTAGGGCGCCACCCCTCCGCCTGGTCCGGCCCTCGCCCTCCCCACCGGCCCCCTGGCTCACCATGATGGGCAAGGGGCGCCGCCGTCGCCGCCCGGGCAGGCACTCGCTCTCCGGGCCGGCCGGGCGCCTTTCATAGCCCGGGGCGGGCCGCGCTCTGCGCACGCGCGGAGGGACCCGCGGAGGCCTGCCCGGCGCCGCCCGCCTGCGCGCGTTTAAGGCTTGGGCACACGGCGGCCGCGGTCTCACAAACTCCCGGGGGCAGCTGTGCTGCGTCCTGCAGGGCCGTCACCAGTCTGCATTGACCGGTTAGCAGTGAGTTTGGTTTTTGGGTTTTGTTGGATTCAGATGAGCCCAGGGCGCAGGGTCGTGTGAGGGCAGTGGGGCAACTGGTCTTTCAAATGCTGCTGTTCATTGTTCTTTAACAATATCCATTAAAATATTACCTATCTTGATTACTGAGTGCTCTGGAGGCCCTGGGTGGAGCCCTGGGTTACTGACAGGTTGGTGGTTCGGGCAACCCAGAGGAGACTGGAAGAAAGGTCTGCTGATGAACTTCTGAAAGGTCACTGTCAGGGAAAACTGTGTAGCCTGTAGTTCTGTTTTGGAATACAGGGGGTCGCCGTGAGTCAGAGTCACTTGGAGCTAACTGGTTTAGGACTCTTGGGTTTTTTAAAATCATTTTATTGGGGGCTCATACAACTCTTATTGCAATCCATGCATCCATCAATTGTACATTTGTACAATTCGTTATGCTCGTCATTCTCAAAACATTTGTTCTCCACATAAGCCCCTGGCATCAGGTCCTCATTTTTCCCCCTCCGTCCCCGCTCCCTCATGAGCCCTTGGTCATTTATAAATTATTTTGTCATCTCTTGCTCTGTCCGATGTCTCCCTTCACCCACTTTTCTGTTGTCCATTCCCCAGGGAGGAAGTTATATGTAGATCCTTGTAATCGGTTCAGGACTCTGGTTTTTTGTGTGTTTTTTAAATCCTTTTATTGGGGGCTTGTACAATTCTCACCACAATCCATACATCCATTGTGTCAAGCACATTTGTACAGGGCTCTTGTTTGTAAATGTGAACTATTGAAACACAAGCTCATAGCACCACCTTTACGCAGAACTGCCCAGAGAACAAACACATCACAAGGGGATGCAGGTTTTTAAGTTCCCTTAGAGCAATTCTTGTTCAAACTACCTCCCTCCCCTGTTGAAGGGATGCCTAAGTCTTTCTCTCTGGTACAGGAATGCCCATTTCCCACCCCACCCCAACCCGGTTAGGAGGGAAAGCTAGAGGTGAACTCCAGGGATGGGGTCATAAAACAAGGTGCCTAAACTTTACCTAAACATACTTTTGTTTTACTTCTGTCAATACCACTTAGTGATTCTTCCGCTCTCTGTACTCTACCCTCCCTGAAGAACATGAGAGGCTTGGCCAGGGAAGAGGGGGCTGCAGTCTGGAGAGAAGTTCCCTTTGAACATTCTACTGCAGCCCAGGCAAGCCTGATATAAAAATACAGACTTCAGTCATTCTAATTGGACATGGTAGTGGTCTTCTTTTATCCGAACCCGCAACACGATCTCAGGTGCCTCATCCTCATCCTGGGCTCTCCATGGGCCTAACTGTGCTGCCAGAACCCCAGGGACAGAGAATAGGGGGTCCTGATGCCTTCTCCAAGGCCGGCTACTCAGTTGCCACCTCCTCTATGCAGCCACTCAGCTCGGTTCCATGGTGCCAAGTGCTGGACACTGACTCAAGGGTGGCAGGCTTCCCATTTCTGAGACACCCCCCATGGGTAGACCATACCACAGGAGTCACATCGAGTCCAGCTGATGCCCGGACTCCCTGGCCCAGCCTCCTTCCTTTGTCTTTCTTCCTCTGGGCTCCTGGCCCACCAAGGTCCCCTAACCATCCCAGCATGCATTGTGCTTGGCTTTGAAGGTGTCGAAGTTGGCAAGTTGGCCTCTACTGCGTGAGTGGCGCCCGCCCCTTCCTCATCATCATTCTTCCACTCAGCTTCCGCAGTGTCCTCCACACACATGGCAGTAGATGGAATGTGGCCTTGCCCACGGCCGCCCGAGCCTTCCCTCCTGCTTTCCGGGCTCTGTTCTCCCTGGAAACGTTTCATAGCGGATTTCCTCTCCTGGGTGATGCTAGGACAGGGCCAGAGGAAGCAAGCGGGTCTTGGTCTGGTCTTTAGGAAAAAGAGTGGTACCTGCCCCGTCACCACAGATTCATTTCCCTGAGGCTCCTCTGGGACTGGGTGGGAGTGAAGAGGCCGACGCAGGGTTTGTAAGAGTTGAAAGACATGTATTTAAGGGGGAGATGGTGACAGAAAGAGGCAGAAATGACCCACAGGGCCCAGTCCCCCATGTTTTCCTCTTAAAGCCACATCTCCAAGGGATAATCCAACCTAATAAGCTGCCCTGTGATCCTTATGCCTGTGCCTGGGCATCTTTCACCTTCCCTTCCGTTTCCCCGGCTCTTCGGAAGGTTTTACGGAGCCTGTCTCACCCAGGTTCTCAGGCTCGCTTCTGTCGGCTTCTGAAAGCTTGTCTCCTTGCAGTTCCTGCCTGTTGCCTTTTCTGGAGAGGCGGCCTATTTCTCCCGATGGCCTCTTGTAAATCTCCATGGATTCCCTCTGGCCCATCTCGGAGAGTTTCCTGCCCAGCTCTGTGGACAGCCTCTGGCCCATCTCCCCCCAGTCCTTTTTCCCCACGGCTCTCCGTTCGGATGGGAGCAGGGAGCTGGGGATTTCTCCTGCCAGCTTCTGCCTGCTACTTTCCTGCTCGGATGTGAGGCTGTCCTGGTCGTCCTCTTCCTCCAGCAAGGGGTGCTCTCTCTCCCACTGCTGCATCACCTTCTCGGGCTCCTCTCTTACAGGTTTCTTATCCCCGAACCTCCTTTCCACCACTGTGGCCTCATTCGAGTCCACAGGCTCGTCTGAAACACACACACACACACACACACACACACACACACACGCACACACACGGGAAGGAGGATCAGATAGAAGTGTGTTCATCTTTGGGCCTCGGTCAACCCCAGCCTGAGCACCAAGAAAGAGGTCCTGAGAACGGTTACGCCTGCAGACTCTGCCACACACCTTCTACAAACAAGGGTCAGGGGCTGTGCAGGGTACCCCCACTCCTTCATCACAACACTGCATAGTGTCCGTGGTCCTGTTTTGTAGTTGAGGGACCCGGGGTTGACTGAAATCCTTGCCAGGGTCACCGTGGAGGTAAATAAATGACAGAATTTGAACCCAGGACAGTAGGCCCACGGCACACTTTGCCCTGCCCATTCTTTGTTTAGTGGGAACACCTGTACAGGCTGCAGGCAGCTGGGGGGTGGGGGTGGCTATTTATAGCCTAAGAGGGTCCTTGCTTTTATTTATAGCCTAAGGGGGTTCTTGCTTTTAGCAGTTATGGAGGAAAAAGCACTAGTTCCCGCCCCACTCTCCCCTACTTCCTCTTCCTGGATTACCCTGCCCCCCTCAAAGACCGCCTTTGGGTGCAAACACATGCAGTGCTGCCTCCTGCTGTTCCCAGAGGGAAGTGCCAGCTGCTGCCTTGTTCTGGCCGCGTGTCCACTGCACACAGCCTGCCCCAGGGGAGGGCCGGCGCGCCAGGCTGCTGGGAGCGTCTGCCTTTCTTCCCCCTCCTGCCTCCTCTGCAACAAGCCCGCCACCCGCTACCGTCCCCTCGATCCCAGCCCTACAGGGCACAGCAGCACCGCTCCATAGTCTCTGAGGCTGTGACTTCCTGTTCTGCTGGAGCTTTCTCCTGGCTCTCTATCCCATAGCAAGCACCCTCAAGGAGCCAGTGACTACCAGGCCTTACCGCCTCCCCCCCCCTCCCCCCGCCCTCTCACTCCTGGTCCCAAAGACCTGGGGCGCCTGGGTGAGGCAATTCTTCCTCGTCTCCCCAGAAACCCAGGGCGCCTGCGCCTTGGCCAGGCAGGGGAGGCCCTCTGCCTGACGTGCTCCCTGGGCTGGGGATCCGTGGGCATCCCAGGGGCCTCTTTCCCTGGATGGAACGCTTTCCTGGCACCTGATTCCTAGACTGCTGGCAGAACCAGGGGAGTGGGTTCGCGGCCAGCCCATGGAGCAAGCCGCTGTGACTGGAAGGGCTGGGGCAGAGAGGCCGCCCCAGCTGCCTCTCCCAGAGTTCCAGGAACTCACCTCTTTCCCGCCTTTCTTTGAAAGTCTCCCTGTAGTTGGTTTTCTTCAGTTCTTCAACGATGCCCTTGTTGGCATCGTCCAAGGCCTGTGGTGGCAGAGGGGGCTTGTGATCTCTCTTAATCCCAGCGTGGCACCTTTTCCTTTCTCTGCACTAGTGCCCAGTCCTAGAAGACTCTGGGAGCCCTACTTGAATCTGCCCCCCACCCCCCACCCCTCGGTCTCCTCCTGCCCCGAGGCTGGTACTGACTGATGGGTTAGCCGTACCAAGTGGTCCAAGCGATACACTCCGTCACAGGGCTCCTTGAGAATAGCCATGTACTTAGAGTTTTATCTGGCTTTGGATCTCTGCCTTTTTGCTGAAAGCAGCTCTTTCTTGGCTTCAGACAACGCAGAAAAGCAAGTCAGGCCCCTCAGACTGGGGGCTGCCTTCTGAATGGGTCTTCTGGGGGATCTGCAGTGGCCCAACTCGAGTACACCTTGCACAGGGGCTGGCCCTCAGCTTCTAAGCATCTTGAGGGAGGGTGCTACCTTCTTATTCACAGGAGCCAAGCCCCAGGTAAACCAGTGTTTCCCAAAGTGAGCAAGACACTGTCCCCTGTGGTGCTAGGACGATTGGGGGCGCTAGGATAATTTTAATTGCCAGAGGGGTATAGAGTAATGTGTATTTATTGTAAAAGGGGGGCAGTTGGTCAAGTCAGTTTGGAAACCAGTGTGGTAAATGTGGCCGATAGACCGGAGCTATTATGTAGGTGCGGGTTTGCTCCCCTTGAGCTTCCTGCCTGCACATATGCCAGTGTCAGAGGAGGTGGGGTTAGGACCTGGTCCCCAGGGAAGTCACTGAGGTGTGAGGTTGTGCAGCCTGTGCACCCTTTAAGCACCTCCCCCCTATCTTCAAAGCAATTTCAAATCCTCCTTGTGGCCAAGACTCCATGCTGCCTCCCCATTAGAGGGCTCCTGTGCCTTGGGACTCCCCTCTCCTGCATCAGAGGAGTCCCGTGTGTCTGAGTAGCATGTGTGATTGCTAATGGAAAGGTCGGAGGGTCAGGCTACCCAGAGGGGCCTCGGAAGAAATGGCTGGCAATCTACTTCTGAAAAATCAGGGACTGAGAACCCTGGAGCACAGTTCTGCCCTGAGTTGCCTGGGTCTAGCCCCCCCACCCCCCCACACCAGTGACTGCATGAGGTGGGGTGCTTCTCTCTCAGCCTTCCAGCTGACACCAGGCTTCTGGGAGCCAGACCACAGCTGTTCTTGCTCTGTAAATATTGACTGGACTGAGTTGCCGCGCTATCGATATTTGCAGGGCAAGCACGGGGAAGGGGCCATCTTTGTGAAGCTCGGGCATTGGGAAAGGTTAGCCCTCTTCCTCGGGGCCAGGGCTCTGGCTTGGTATTCATCGTGCAGAGGAGGGGCGGGCGGGCCCTGTCCCTTCAATAGAAGGCCCAGAGCAGCCAGCTTTGGGACTGGCCAGAGCTGCCCTGGGAAGGGAGGAAGCACAGGCTATACCGCCACCTGTTGGAAGACACTGGGAGCGGTTTCTCCACTAGACAGGGAAGTGACAGCCAGCTTCCCCAGGCCACACCCATGAGCTGGCCCTGGAGAAGCTGTTTGGTCAGCTGCTGCTGCTTTGCCATTTCAGCACCCTTGGACAGCCTGGGGTCACAGTGGACCTCGTCCTTGGGTCTCTTTTCTGTCTCCTACAGATCTCTCCGTACCCCCCTCCCCAAATCTTGCCCCTTCTCCTTGGCTGGCCAAACTTTGTGTCCTTGTCCTTAAACAGTAGTGTGAGGCCCACCACTGACTGGGAGCATCCCCCTCAATGCCCTCCCTTCCACTAGGGCCTGCTGCATCTCCAAGCTGGTCCTGGGGGCCGTGCTGAGTAGCCTCGCCCACGATGGGGACAAGTCCCCCCGCCCCCAGGTTGTTCACGGCAGCAGGGCACACTCCAGAATTTTTTCCTAGGGACTGCAGTCATGCCTGTGCATGGAGGTGCGCACGTGACGGTCCTCAGGTTGTGTATCTGTCTGGAGGGGGGCAGTGGGGAGCCCAAAGCTTCTCCAAAGCCTCCCTTGGGCTTCCCCACTGCTACTGCCTCGTGACACATACTGTCTAAGCCTTTCAGTCATATTAGAGATGCTTTCTACCTGCAGGGGGGCACCCACCAGCTGAGGGCGGCGATTGAGCACCTGCAGTGGAGCTAGTGTGATGGAGAGACTGCATTTTAAACCCACTGCCGCTCCAGTAACTTGAATGTCAATAATGACAGGTGGCTGGGGGCTGCCTGACTGGGCAAGCCTGTGTGATGTGGGCATGGGAGCTGGAGGAGAGACGGGCACCTCAGCCAGCCTGAGATGGTCAGAGGTGGCACAGAAGTGGGAATGTCGAGGCTGAGTGGGAGAGTCTGGTGGAAGTGGAGGTGGAGGAGGAGGGGAGTGTTTAGGAGAACCTTCCAGGTGTGGAAGCCCCATGGCATGAGGAAGCCTGGTTGTTAGGGGCACCTAGGGGCTCTGCCGTCCACCCTTGGGCTGGAGGCTGGGCAGTTGAAGGCCACCGGACAGGCCCCGGAAGAGGTCACCTGAGGCCTTCCCGACCCAGCAGGAGAAGGGACAGCAGTGAGTCCACAAAGTGCAGAGCCGGAGAGGAGAGGGAGGACCCTGCTGGGCTCCTTGTCCTCCTGGGAGTCCTCCAATCACGGTCTGAGCCAGCACTGACCAAACCCACTCACGTGGAGAACCCAGCGCACAGTCTGTGGGAGACGTGAGCCTTGCTTTGTAAAAGGCTCCTTGGCCTTCTGCTGGTTGGAAGTAAGGATGTGCGTGTGCTGGTGGCCAAGAGACTGAGAGGTTGGGGCGGCGGAGAATGTGCCCCGCAGTTAGTTGGTGAGCTTCCGCTGTGGTCGGGCCCAGGAGGAGGGAGGGGCTGAGGGAGAGACTGCTGCAGAGGGAGGCCCAGCACCCCCCACCCCCAGCTGTGGGGGGACACTCACGCTGATGATGGCCTGCTGCGCCTCATTGTTGTGGACAATCTTGGCCCTCTCCAGGGCCTTCTCGAAGTTGCTCACGGCTGCCTCAAAGTCTCCCAGCTTCACTGAGGCGCAAGGAGAGAAGGCCCAAGGGAGGACTGTGAGCCTCGGGTGCCTGAGCCCTTAGCTCCACCCTTCCGGCCACACTCCTGGGCCCATCGCCCGCCTCCTGCTGGGAACCAGAGCCTGGGCCCCTGGGCCCTTGGACTTCAGGCCAGGGGAAGGGGGTCCAGCTTCACTCTGCACACACCTGTGCCTGGGGCGGGGACCTGAACTCCCTAGCAGTAAGGCCTCATTTCCAGATTGCCCGGAGGAGAAAATGTCTGGTTTTCAATGTTGGTCCAGTTTCTTTCAATACCCTGGTGCAGGCCAGTGTCACTGTGCAAACAGGCCAGCAAGCCGGCACCTCTGCTCCCTTCCTTGGTCCGAGTCCAGAGAGGAGGCCGTGTGGATGGACTGGCTGGGTTTTGTCCTTTAAAAGCACTTAATTTCAAGGAAACCCGAAGCAAACTCCCTGCCACCGAGTCGATGCTGATGAACTCACAGGACACGGCCGGACCTCCCGTTTCGGACTCATTCTTTAAGGGAGGAGAAGGAGAGCCCCATGTGTCTCTCAAAGAACATCCGGTGGTTTTGAACTGACAACTTTTCAGTTAGCAGCCCAACGAGTAACGGCTTCGCCAGCGGCGTTCCCAGTTTCAAGAAGGAAGGAAAATGCTCACCCCGCCCGGCCTGGAAACCTTGTACCCCAGTACGTCACACACCACGGGCTTGGTTTATACCTACGTGTCCCCAAAAGCTGCTCTGGGCAGCACGGGACAGGGAGTAAACCTTGCAGAGATTCAAATGCACACTGGGAAAAGATGTGCAGAAACAGCATGTCAGCGCCATCGCCGTTTTCTCCAAATACGCGTGTGTGATGCCGGGCAGTGGGGACTCTTGTCACTGAGGTCCTGCTGGGGGCCACGGGAGGGGGGTGTTTCTCCCAGCTTCAGACACCTAGGAACTGAACGAGCGGCCTGACGTCATCTGGCTGGTGGGGGTTGTTTTCCCCATGGCCCCTGCAGCGCAGTAACAGACGTGCACAGCCCTGCCTGTCTTTGGAGCTGTGCGTCCATCTTTCCCAGGCCAACCTTGTTTCCCATGACCCTTAGAGACATTTGCTGAAGGGGGGAGGGTAAGAAAGGAGCTACGATCGATCTAGGTGCAGAAGTGCCTGCAGGTGAGGGTCTTTCTCCCTGCAACAAGCAGCGGGAGACTCACAGAGGCCCTCTGGGACACACAGAGTGGCGTGTCTCCATTGGGTCTCCACGGCAATGAATCTTCATGGAAGTAGCCAGCCGCATCTTGCCCCCGTGAAAGAGGTGGTATGATCAATCCCAACCGCTGGCCTTTAGGTTGGCCGACGAGTGCTTAACCACAGTGCCGCCGGGCTGGGGCTGCAAGCATCCCTATTTCAAGATGCAGAGCCTGAGGCCCCGGGGCCTGGGTCCTCCAACCAGGAGACACTGGGCCTTGGAGCTGAGGCTCACACCGCTGGGCGGGGCTGTAAAGGATGAATTCGGCCCGGAGTGGGGAAACTGAGGCCAGCAAGGAGTCACCTGGTTCTCCTGGGGCCCTGGGAACCATGTCAGCCCTGAGGAGGCCTTCCCCCTGAGCCCCCCTGGTTGAAGAGGATGTTAGCTTGCCTTCGTCTTCCTGCGCGCTCTGGAAAGAACGGAAACTTCTGTGGCTCTGCCCCCTCATCGGCCTCCTCCCCCTCCCCGTTGGCAGAGAGCTCCTGCCCACACACCGGGCGGGCGCCTTCAGAGCCACCGAGCAGCCAGGCGCCTTCCCAAAGCTGTTTCTTGTTGGTCCTGAGCTTGTCCAGCAGCTGCTCATCTTGCTGGTGGGGGCTTAGACGTTTCTGCGCAGAAGCCCCCGCCTCAGACAGGAGGGCCGGAAATCCCCAGCTTTGCTCGCTGGTGGGTGGCCAGGGTGGCCCCTAGAAGGGGCCCAGGTGGTCTGTGTGGAAGGCACACATGCATGCGTGAAGAGGACCCCTGGCCGGAGCCCTGGTGGCTTGGTGGGTGACGCGCAGGCTTGGTAACCTCCAGGTCAGCAGTTTGAACCTGCCAATCTTCCTGCTGGAGCACCATGAGGCTCAGCTCCCGAGAAGATGGGCAGCCTACTGGACTGTCCCTCCTCCTTGGTTGGGATATTGGTAGCATTTCTGGGGGAGGGGCAGCTTAGCACGTGATGGGGAGCCTGAGTGAGGGTGTCTCACAGAACCGCATTCTAGTCCCAGCTCCGTGGCTTCTTGGCCCAGTGACCTTGGGTGACTGTCGTTACAACTTTGAATTCTGAAATATTTCAAAGGCACACGGAAGTCAAAGGACTAGTCTTATGAACCCATCACTGGGCTTTCATTTACTCTCCTTGGGTGCACCTTCCTCCCTCGACCTCCTGCTGGCTGCAGGTCAAACAGCCCTGCTGAGGGAATCGGTGGGCTCTACGATTCACTATGTCAAGTTCAACCATCTTCAGTAACCTGAAAGTCGGGCAGCCATGGCCACAACCCAGTTTTGAACATTTCCATCTTTCCAGAAAGTTCCCTCATGTGGCCTGGGCGAGCTGCTGAGCCGCCCAGTGCCTTAGTCTCCCCATGTATAAAACGAAGACAGCACTTGGGGGGCCTCAGTGGGTTCAGGGAACACCGGCAGGCAAGAAGTAGCCGGTGCCTGGCTGCCTCTCCACCTGCTGAAAGGGGTCACTGGTGAAGGGGGACGAACATGTGGAACAAAATTCAAACTCGCAAAAGTTCCCAGGCCGACTGGTCAGGAAGCCCAGGAAGGAGGGGCCTCAGTCACCCTACAGGTCTGGAAATGAGCTCAGCCCTGTGGCTTAAGTTAGCAGCCAGACAACAGGAGAACAATATCCCTGTGGAGGTGAGCTCGCTTTAGCACAAGCAACCATTTGAGATGGAAGGGCAGCATTTAGGCCAGGCCAAAGTTCGGGAGGATGAGGGGGGAGGAGGGATGGAACCAGCAGACCCGAGTAGGAAGTAGGGTGAGCGATGCTTTGTTGAGGGACTGTAATGAATGAGATGAACCAAAGTGTGTACAAACCCCTGAATGGAGAACCGATCCGCTCTCTAAACCTTCATGCAGTGCACAACACAGAGACGGGCATGGAGAAGTGGGATTGAGAGGAGAAGGCAGATACCTACGGTGTATATGTGCCCCACAGGGTCCAGGGAGTAGCTCTATCCCTGGGCACAGCCACCGTGATCCCCCAGGATCCGGGCAACTCCAGGATGCCAGACTACAGTGTATAAAGAAACACACACTGGGAGAAGCCTACTGGGGTATTCCCACTCCCAGAATTCGCCTGGGTGAGGACAGCCTGGGAGTTACACTTGGCCTGCAAGACACCCAGCCCGGGCAAGGTGAGGGGTATGGGGCTGGCAGCCTGGTCCTGAGGGCTGGGGACGGTGGCGTGGCTGTCTCTGAGCCCTTACCTTGTGATTGGGCCACCAGAACGCTGGCATTCAGCTGCCACTCAATATCCCCTTCCTCCTCAGCACACTGCTGGGACTTCTCGCCGTAGGACTGGGCCTGCCAGGCCTGCTCCAGCTCCAAGTAGCAGCGGCCAATCTCGTGGAAGAGCCAGGTCTTCTCCAGGGTGGTTTTGGCCAGTGGAATCTTCTCCTCCCACCTGGGAGGCGCAGGGCCAGGGTCAGCTGCCTCCCCTCACACCTGGAACCGGGCCCCAGGGGCCACACGGTCTGCCGAGGGGCAGCAGACGTTCCTCCCAGTTATGAATTTATTCTCCACGGTGAGTGAGTGATCATGAGCGCATTTTAAAACTACCGTCTATGGGGGCCAACTTGACGGGGCAGGTGAAGACAGTCATAGAATCGGATCTGACATAACAGGAGTGCTATGCTTGAAAATATTGTCCAATGGGACGATGTGGGTGCAAGACCGTGTCCCTCACTGCCATCGCCTCCCTCCAGGGGATGCCGCCCCATGGGGATCCCAGAGGCCAGGGCAGAACTGACCCAGGGGCTTCTCAGATGGAAAGTGTCTATGGGAGTAGAAAGCCTCGTCTATCTACCTCGGAAAGTGCCTGGTAAGTCTGAACTTCCAACCTCATGCTTAGTGCCAATCCACCACCCACGGTGCCTCCTGGGCTCCCAAGTGTGTATCAGTGGGGGAGGGAGGGGACAGAAAGAAGAGTTGATCTCAAAGGGCTCAGGAAGGAAGATAATATTTAGAAATTGTTGATGCTAAAAAAAAAAAAAAACTGCTGATGCTGATAATTATATGTGCCCGCCTGAGATAGCGGATGTATGGTTTGTTACAATGTATATAAGAGCCCCCAATGAAATGACTTAATAACAATAATAAAGAACAAAAGATGAACAGACATAGGCATACCTACGTTAACTGCAGCAAAAAGATAGAAACTCCAACTATAGAGGGCTGGTGTGTGTGTGTGTGTGTGTGTGTGTGTGTGTGTATACAACTTGCTCTTTTAAATGGGATTTATATGTTTTGTTTTTTCTATCTCCCATGT